GAGAGAGAGGGCGATTTGAGGACAATCTTAGAGTGGAATTCAAGGATTTCTTCGCCTGGGAAGCTCGAGGAACAAGCCCGGACTTGAAGACTGATCATGTGAAGATTCTTACTGCAGTCCCTCTCTTCTCTATGGAGTAACTTCCCTTCATTTAGGTTTTGAGGAACCCTAGCTATGTTTGTTTGATTGAATTATTGTATGAGTACTCCTACTTGATAATCTTGAGTTCATATTCAATCTATGCATGTTTTCATGATTCAATTCTTCTTTAGTCGAGATTATTGATTCTGCTTTGATCCTATGAGAGAAAATACCTGATTAGGTCAATAGAGAACCATAGATTGATAGTATTGGATCGATTGCTTTAGTCGAGGGTCGATTCACTGCTTTGTATTCGATAGAGGAAAGCTAGTTAAGAATGCCTTGATCGGTTGTTCTAGAGAAGGATATGTCCCTCTGTGCAATTGACTCAAGAGGGCCATGTTCCTTTAGTCGAGACTCAAGGTCTAGTTAAGGATTCTCCGCATTGTGAATGAAAGTGAAACAGGTTAGAGATCAGCAATCATTAATCTGGCTAGTGGCAGGGCTGAATCATACCTAAGTGAGTTCCCAACTTGTAATTAGATTAATTTTAACTGTAGTTTGCTAGAGTAGTTTTAGTTGTTCTATCTTAATCTGGTTTGCTAGATAATGAACTAAAGCTGAGTAATAGTAACTCTAGATACCCGTGGATTCAATATTTATTACTTGAGCCACTATATTGCATTACCTTTCATTGGTTACACTTGGCCTTTGTTAGGAGTTGTGTCATAGCAAGTCAGTTGTCCCTTATTCATGTTATTCATCTGGTTGTTCTCGTCGCCCATGTCGTCCTCCTGCTCGGAGTTGCTGCTAATTCTTCCGTCAAACTGTTCTTCTGTCGTAGCCAGTCTCACTCATTGCACTCTCCTAAGCTAGCTACTAGTGCGTTCTAGCTCCGGATCTAACGGTAGTAATGCTCCCGACTGCCTACGGCTCATGCACTACCTGCACACAGCTAAACAAGCAAACCCGTGAAGGAAAAAGTGGGGCAAAGCAAAACAATCAATTCGGAAAATAAATGCTAAAATAACAGAAATCACGTTTCTTCAACAACCTAGCCGTCTCCGACAACGGCGCCAAAAACTTGACTCGCCTGTACCGTCTCACTAGAAAATGGCCAAGTGTAATCACCGACTAATGCATATTATAGCGAGTTTAGCTTTAATTGCCAATCCAGGTCCTAGATGTGATGACTACTCCGTGAAGTTCTTATTATTTAGCGTTTTAACTGTAGTGAAGTATTAACTAAGCTAAACAAACACAAAGGAGCAAAGGTTGTGGTTCAACTTTGAGAGAGGTCACCCAAATATGGTTCCCCCTAGATTGCAGTTAAGTCAGGTTATAATTTTTCAAGTCTAGAATCAATGACAGTTATACTGCGGAAGGTTCTTATTTAGTCTGAAGTCTCGACTAAAGGTCTCCAGACTCTCTCAATTTGTATACTCGGCGGGCGACTAACCTCCACCGGAGTAAACAAACTGAGGCCCTAACGTTCAAAACCTCCTCTACTGGAGTAAATCCAGTACAAAGGAGTGAATTGAATCCTCGACTAAAGTAGTCAATTCACCACCTTCAATTAAGGGTGCTCTATCAACCTATGCAAATATTCTCTTTCTAGGTCAAAGCAAGAACCACAGTAATTTGATCAGGATTCATGCAATTCAGAAAATCATGCCTAGATTGAATATAATTGATGTCAAAAGAATATGTACTTGGGTTCATACAACCAAACCTAACATACAAATCTAGGGTTCTTCATACCCATGTGAGAGAGAGAGTTTACTCCATAAAGAGAGAAGGGAAATCAGCTTCAGATGCAGAAATTATTCTGTGGAGGATGAAAATCGGCTTCTGGTAATCAATTGGCAGTTCTCCAAGCTTCAATCGAGCTCCAATGATGTTGAATCTCGATCTAGGTCACTTGGAGGCTTTGTTCGTCGCTTTCTCTCTCTAGGTTTTTTTTCTTTCTCTAAAACTCGGATCGCTTCCCAAAGAGCTCAAACTTTGCTTGAAATAATAGCAGATCCCGAAACCCGGCCCAAATACCTGGTCGGGTATTAAGAGGACCGGCCGGGTATTTCAAAACGTTGCGCATAGGCAATAGGGGGGAATACCCGATCCTGGATTAAAATACCCGATCGAGTATTTTGGCCTCTCGGTCGGGACCCCTTCTGCTTTCCCGGCCTCCAAATCGCCATTTAACCGGTCCTAATCCACTAATACCCGGTCGAGTATTATAGTGACCTGACCGGGTATTTCGCTTGTCATCTCCTCCTTCTCGCCAACTCTCCATTTTTTCCCCGAAACTTGCCTTCAAGCCTCCCTTTCCGTGCCAAGTCTTGAAATATGACATAAACGCAAAACCTAGCGTGAAATCAGTTTAAAACACAAGAATCGACTCTCAAACGGTTCAATAATGACGGCCAAAACATGTGCAAATAACAGTTTATCAGATGCCGAGTTAGATACTTCACCAACTTTGCAGGTTAAGATTCCCAATGGTACAGGGGTCAAAGTATTCTCAAACGGTTCAATAATGGCGACCAACACGAGTGCGAATAACGGTCTATCAGATGCTAAGTTGGATACTTCACCAACTTTGCAAGTTAAGATTCCCAATGGTACAGGGGTCAAACACAGTATTGGATAGACCAAGTTATCGAATGATTTTTTATTGCATGGAGTTATACATGTTCCTGCCTTCTAGTGCAATCTACTCTCGGTTAGCCGACTTATAGAGGATCTTCCAGTAGCATTGATATTCTTGCGTGACTTCTATGTGATTCAGGACTTACCCTCAAGGAGGCTGATTAGGATGGGTAAACATGTGGATCGCCTCTACTATCTCAGGCTGTTTGATAGTGTTCACCCCATGGCGAATACCGTGAGGAATTCACTTGGCGATTCAGAGATATGGCACTCTCGGCTTGGACATCCTTCCTTTGCAAAGATGAATTTGTTGCAGAACACTCTTGGTTGTTCTTTTGTTCACAATTCAGAACCTTATCGTTCTTGTTTGCGTGCTAAACAGACTAGAGATGTTTTTGTTCCCAGTACTATTAAGTCTACAGCTTGTTTTGATTTGATTCACGTGGATATTTGGGGCAGTTATAAGACGACTCCAATTTCTGGAGCGCATTATTTCTTGACAATTATCGATTATTACAGTCGCGCAGTAAGGGTGTTTTTTATGAAATATAAATCCGATACAGCTCAGTATTTACTATATTTTTGCAATACAATTGCAACATAGTTTGGGGGACAAGTCCGACGTATACAGGCTGATAACGGTCCGGAATTTGCTAGCGCTCCCCTAGTTGAGTATTACAAAGAAAAGGGAATTGTTCTCCAGACTTTTTACATGGATACTCCCTAGCAGAATGGTGCATGGATACTCCCCAGCATAATGGTGTTGTCGAACGCAAGCAGCTGCATCTACTAGATACTACACGTGCACTGCGTTTTCACGCGAATCTCTCTCTTAAGTTCGGGGAGAATGTGTTCTTACTGCAGCATATTTGATTAACTAGATGCTGCTGGTTTCTATTGGGAATAAGACTCCTTATAGTATTCTATTCATCAAAGATCCTACCTACGGACATATGCGCAGCTTTGGTGTCTCGTTTATGCACGTGATAATCATCACGGCTTGCACAAATTCGGCGAAAGGGGGAGAGCATGCATTTTTGTGGGTTACACTTCTGGCCAGCGGGGCTATCGCGTGTATGATCTCGAGAAGAAAACTATCTATACTTCACGTACCGTTAAGTTTCTTTAGCACATCTATCCCTTCTGTGACATGGCCGAGCCTCAGCTCACACCTGTTGCCGTTTCGAGACCTCACTTTATGGTTTTCCTTCCGTAGCAGAGGATGCTGATTCCTCTTCTTCGCCGATTTTCATCAGCACTCCAGCAGCGTCAAAGACTCTTCCCACGGTCTCGAGCGAAGATTCCAGGCCTACCGAGGAGCTTTCTCCATTTCCCTCTCCTGGTGGCGAGACTTCGTCGCCCACGGACACAGCCTCTCCGTCCCAAGTGGATTCCTCGAATGATCCTCCTCTCACAACGGACGCTGCCTCTTCTACTGTTGTTCTGGAACCTCCACCTCTTTGGCGTAGTGAGCGTGTTCGGCAAACTTCCACACGACTAGCAGGCTATGACATGGATCTCCCGGGCATAGCTCACTCCACTACTGCTTTATATCCGCTGTAAGATTATCTTAGCTATCATCGCATCTCCACCGCCCATCGTGCATTTGTTGTTGCGGTCATGGCGATTGACAAGCCCTAGTTCTTTTTCCAGGTTTTTCGAGACAAGCAATGGCGTGATGCTATGTAGGTAGAAATTTCAGCTTTAGAGGCTAATGGCACTTGGACCTTGGTTTACTTACCACCGGGAAAATGGGCTATTGACTGCAAATGGGTGTACAAGATCAAGTTCAATCCTGATGGCTCCATTGAGCACTACAAAGCGCCTTATTGCCAAAGGTTTTACTCAAATCTAAGGGGGTTGATTATCAAGACACTTATGGTCTGGTGGCAAAGTTAGTCACAGTTTGCTGTCTCATTGCTGTTGCAGTCAGTTGGGGCTGGCACATTCACCAGTTAGATGTCAACAATGCATTTCTGCATGGTGATTTGCACGAAGAGGTCTATATGAAGATTCCGCAAGGTTTCTCTCTTCCTTGGGACACTCGTGTTTGTCGTCTAAATAAGTCCATCTATGGTCTACGAAAAGGCCCTCCTTGAGCCCACTGACTCCAGGCCCAACCTTAGTCTACCCACCCCCTTTTGTTTTGTAGGGTTATGAAGTGGCGTTGTGGCGATCGCCTCCACTCCAATCTATTACCCTCCATTTGTCCATCACCTCCAATCCATTTTCCTCCTTTGGGAATCCAAAACGGTCGTCGAACCTTAACCCTAAAAATCAATAGGCGAGACGGCAACTGCAAAACCACTCTTTCCTCCGCTTCGACCCAACGATGACGAGTGCGCCTCCACTTCGACCAGCAATCGCGACGTGACCCGACCTTTGCTCTGCCATAGCTCGTTGCCCTCCATCAAATCGACCCCCGCCTCTGTCACAGCGTTGTCAACGGCTTCGCTACAACGACCGCTCCGCCACATCTTCAGCCTCCGCTCCATCAACAGCTCGTCGCCCTCCGGCCACAGCTCGTCGCCCTCCGGCCACAGCTCGTCGTGCTACGTCCCAGGTCGTCGCCCTCCGCCGACCAGCAAGCAGCCGCCGAACTCTGAAAAGTCGATCAGCAGGCAACAGTCGCCGAGTTCGATGTACTTTTTCTTTAATGAAAAACTCTGAAAATGGAGGAGAGCAACAGTCGGGTCAAAATCAGATTGGGGTCGGACCAAATCAAAACCGAACTGGGTTAAAACCAGACTGTACACAATCCAATCTTTGATCCCTATATTTCCAAAATAACCGGATTGGAACCAAGTCAGTTCAGGCAAGTTTAACCGGATTGTACCGGATAACTACCCTAATTGCCATCACTATTCTGGAGGCTGGCCAAATTATCTAAGTCAAACTTTAGTTTAGCGGATCTATTTTTATTACATTGACAACTTTTTATTCTATTTGTTACCAAATTTCGTAAAATCCATGCGAATGAACCCTTAATAAGTAATTGCCATACATGTCTTTCAAAAACAATCAATCAAAATTATTTTCAATATTAGACCAAATAATTGATACACTAACTATTCATTAATGCAATCTATAGGGTAACTAGACCATAAGAAAGGGTAACTGCATAATGATAATATACTACCATTCAATCAAGGCAGGCCACAATAATAATGAAAGTTTTCTAACATCTCTCGCCCATTTTTATAGAACACTAATTAGTATCAAACATTAGTTAAAATTTAAAACTTATATTTTGCCACTATATTGTATGTAAAAGAAATATAGTTCAAGGGCTTGCCTGGTAAGCATCATATAATTGAGGGGCTAAGATGACAATTATTTCATTTTATTTTTAAATTGCATTAAAAAGACGGAGATGGTAAGGCGGGCCGGGCCGGGTCTGCTGCTGCTGCAGTCAATCCGAGTTCTACCCGTTTTCCCCATGGAACCCTAGATAGATTTAATCGGAAGAATTGCAGAGTGGGAAGAAAAAAGGATATGTAATTCGAATCCGGAGTCCGGACTAACAAGCGTCTCCAGTTGACGAGTCCTTCTCCTCCATTCTTGGAACCCTAAAACTTGCGGAAGCGGCAAGCCAAACCATTTATCCCATTAGGCAAAAGGAAGGTCTCAATCCTTTTCGTTGCGACTCTTCTTTTCTGGATTTCTCCGTTCCCCAACTTCTCCTTCCATGTGAGCTACAAAACCCATTTGAAAACCCTTCATTCAGTTCTGTTTAACTTCTCTTCTTCCTCCTCCTCATGGCTACCGAAGCCACCGCCACCGCCGATTTCCAGAGCCCAGACTTCAGACCAGTTCCCCAGCCCCCTGATTTCCATCCCGAGATTCTCGTGAAAGCCCACGACGGCCTTCACTTCTGGCAGTTCATGATCGCCGGCTCCATCGCCGGCATGGTGGAGCACATGGCTATGTTTCCAGTCGACACAATCAAGACCCACATGCAGGCAATTGGGTCCTGCCCAATCAAATCCGTAAGCATCTCTCACGCTTTCCGTTCCATTATCAAGACGGAGGGCACCGCCGGACTCTACCGCGGCATCGCTGCGATGGGTCTCGGCGCTGGCCCCGCCCACGCGGTTTATTTCTCGGTCTATGAGACGTGTAAGAAGCGGTTTTCTGGGAACAATCCGAACAATTCACTAGCTCATGCTGCTTCCGGAGTATGTGCTACCGTTGCAAGCGACGCCGTTTTTACTCCTATGGATATGGTGAAGCAGAGACTGCAGTTGGGGAACAACACCGTGTATAGGGGAGTTTGGGATTGTGTGAAGAGGGTCTTTAGAGAAGAGGGTATTGGTGCTTTCTATGCTTCGTATAGGACTACAGTTTTGATGAACGCTCCTTTCACGGCGGTTCATTTTGCCACCTATGAGGCCGCGAAGAAAGGTTTGGCTGAGATTTCGCCAGATAGCGCTAACGATGAAAGCTTGATTGTCCATGCCACTGCTGGAGCTGTTGCTGGAGCACTAGCAGCTGTCATCACCACTCCACTTGATGTGGTTAAGACTCAATTGCAATGTCAGGTGAGTTATTTATGCTATTGGTTTTAGAAGTTCTTATCATACTTATAAAGCAATTGGGTGTAGGGAAACAAAGGGATGGTGCATTTCATAGAAGAAAGGCTGGAAATTATGTCAATTCAGTGACATTGCAACTGTAGATAGAATGTGACACTCGCTTTGTCTGATTTTCAAGTGGTTGTGATTTCTGCTGTCATGTTGGCTTGGGCATGTAAGCGGTTGACACGAGCCACATAGTTTTACTTTGATTCATGGTTCCTCAACTTCTCCTTCTACATGTAAACTTAGTCTGATGCTATGCTGCTTTATGTGTTTTGGCTGGTGATTCTCTGTACTAGGAACAATTGGGACAACTTTTGCAGTTACACTCTGTAGTAAGGGCAATCGGAACCTTTTCCTACAAGTTGTCATAAGTTCTTCAGTTTCCCCAAACATCTATGTAGTTGGGCAATAGGTCGACAAATTCATCTCAGTGAGCACGTTTTATATATAGTATGGAAAATGCACTACTTGAAACAGTGGCTGTTTGAGATAGTCGATTCAAGGTTGGTAGGAAGAAGATAATATTGCTGAGGTTTTAGAGAGTGAAATCCTTCTCCATAGTTGGTATCTATCATATGCTCAACATGTTTGGATAGAAACAAACGCCTTTATTGACCAATGCAGTTCAAGACCTTCATGATTTTCTTGCTCTTGTTGAGTAGCAACCCTTTCCTAGGAAACAAACAAGCAACTCAAACTTTTCCCGTCTCAAGCTAGACGAGAAGTTTGCAGCTTCATTGTTCTTTTTCAGGGGACAGTACGGTTTTCCCTTAGTTTGCTTACTTTGAAGTCTCACTTGCTTAATCACCACAACTTTCGCTTACTCTTTCTAAGGTTTCCTTGAACAATGTAGTTTTGGCTATATGATCTATTCTTCATGTTTAATGGGAACATGCTAGGTCAAATTATGCATTACTTAAATAGATGTAATGACAAAACTCAACAAACTAGCTAGTATCGCCTGTAATTGTTGCTTGCATTCCCTTGCTCCATGCTTTCCTATGTAATGATTGTGGTTTGAGGATAACTAACTATAGTTATCGTGGTTTCAGGGTGTTTGCGGTTGCGACCGATTCAAAAGTGGTTCAATAAGTGATGTTTTGAAAACAATAGTTAAAAAGGATGGGTACAGAGGGCTGCTGAGGGGTTGGGCTCCAAGGATGCTTTTCCATGCACCTGCAGCTGCTATCTGCTGGTCTACCTACGAAGCCTCCAAAAACTTCTTCCACGAACTCAATGATAGCGCTAACAACAGTGGCACTATCACTTGAACGGTGTTGAGGTGGGGAAGTCATGGATGGAATCACAATTTGATACCATAATAATGCTCTGTACAAGTAGTACCAAGATCGTAGGCTTCAGCAACAGAGGACAGTAATCCAGACATGGGGTTTATCCCTTGCAACAGGCAACTATAGGCAGAAGTAGATTACAAATCAATTTGATGAATTTAGAGTTTACTTTTGACGAGGTCGAGATTACGGTTAATTAATGTTGTACACGCCCATGTAATAATCCTATTGAGTTCTTTCATTTTCCAGGTTTATGGACCGGGTGAAAGCTTGTGTATCATCAATCTGCATTTCTCTTTCGCCCTGCTTAAGTTTTGACCTCTTGGAGATGTTCTTATCTATCAAAGTTTAATTTGGTAGTTCTGTTTCTTGTAATAGCTTATGTTCTTGAAGTTGGCGAATCTCGTATACTCGATTTAATTTGAGCTTGTAGCAGCATGTACAATACTACAATAAATAAAGCGAGCATTTCCAGTTTGACATGCAGCCTCTGCCTTTCGGAAGTTCTTGCAAATGTGATTGATTATACTATGTGTATTGAATTGAAATGCTTCAATGCCGTCAATTACATAACTTCATCCCAGGTTTAACTGTTATGAGCATACAAGTGGCTGGAACGTTAATGAATATCATTGAGCCAAACTTAGAGAAGCCGTAACTGCCTTCGAATCCAAATACAAATTGATTTTATTTGCTCGAAGCGCCATAGCTACCACTGTGATGAAGTGCACAAGTTCGCATTCTGTACTGCAACATTCAGATTGAGGTTCATCCTGGAGGTCTGTTTCTCCGACTCGATGATCCCCCGTCTACTATGAACTTGCAATCTGGCCAGACTATCACAGTAATATTGTCAAGCTTCCCACCTGCCTACAAAGGGCTCGAGCAGTTAGTCAACAATTTCTGCTATGTTTCAAAGAGGAGTTACCAGCTAAAAGAGAGTGAAATGTTGAAGCATGAACAGAAAAGGGGTCTGCCATGCTTGTTGCATGCCAAGGATCTTTTTCCACCATGGAAGCTCAATAGCCTGCCAAGAGAATTCATCGAGATGATGAGAAGTTTCAACATTAAAGATACAGGTCAACTATGGATGAACATATGTGAATGAATTTTGGAAGTTTGTTTGATGGTCACCTTGGACCTGTGTTCCAATGCGTAGGGCGACTCGTAACTCGAATCCAGTGAATGAACTCACGCTAAGTTAGCCAGAACCTTTGCTACCATTGAAATGGTCGAAGTTACCACAGGCAAATAGTAAAATGAGAGAAAATAGTAACACATCGAAATTACAACAAATAACTTACCAGCATCACTAACATTTCTATGTTGGCATATTGTGGAAACAATCTCATGATCACAAACGTTGTTGAAAAGGCCATCAGAACCCATCACAATAATATCCCCCTCAATCACTTCCAGGCTGCTAACCTTTGCGGAAGGATCAAATGTAGATAAGATGAGAAAGTTCGTCAACATTGTGTAAATATAAAAAGTTGAAAGAGTGTTGCTGAAGCAATATGAATGAACATACCATAGCGTCGAGATATGTCTGACTGACAGTTTCTGAACTCAATTGATATGGACAATCAAAATAGTGTTCTTGTGGGGAGAAGTGGAGAATATTATTTGTCCTGCAATTAGAATAAACTGCATGATCCACCCTCAATTGTGTAGAATAAATGAATGACAAAAGTACAGGGATGCCAAATAGAATGATGCGAGGAACACCAACCTCAGAATCAAGATTAATACCTTCATGGATAAGCTTTAGTCCACAATCTCCAACATTTGTGATCTTAAGCATTCCATTTCTCTCCAGCATAGCCACAATCCTAAATGACCAAAGAACAACTATGACAAGTAACGCAGATTCAGGTGCATCTGAAGAAATAAAGCTGCAGCAACTAAGACAAAGAATAGGACTTTACACGGTAGCTGAGCCGATTGAGGAGGTAGCAGCATGTGCTTTTCTGATGAGAACTTGGGACCATAGTTGACCTGCTCTAGATTAAACCAATGCCTCAAGGAGCTTACAACCAAAAGGCAACAAGCATTCAGCCACTAAATCCATCTAGTTACTTTCTTACACATTACTGCAAATGCTAATATGCTAATGCTACCTCCTCATCTGGCACGAAACTAGAAGCATTTGCAATCAGTTCTCTAGAAAAAAGTGAAGGACCGACATCCTCTTCAGCCCAACTGAAAAGCAATAACAATTGGTTGGCAGGTTAATGATACTAACAAAGCATATCAGCTTCCAGCACTAGCAGAACGAAACGAAACAGAGCGGAATGGTGCAACTGGTCAATTTTAAGGTTACCCTGAGACACCATCAGCAATGGCAAGGACTCCACCACCGTAGCTACTTATGAAAAATGCATCTTCCCCAACTTTTTCAACCAATGAAAAGTGTTAGTATCAGGGCACAAGAAGAGATCATCCAATATCTAACAGTCCGGAACAAAGAATTTACTAACACTGTCTACCTTGTTGGGATGTGGAATTACGTGACTTCCAACACAGAGGTGATACCTCTGACTTGCAAATGGCATTGATACATTTTTATCTGGAAGTAACCTGAATTCAAATCCCAGACTGAACCTACCCATTTCCTGTTTGCTCCCAAGTGACAGTGGGAAGCGGTTAGAAAAATACATGGAAATTCGGGCGGAAGAAATGCGAAGGGGGATAACGCGAGAGAAGCAGCTGACCGGAGAGAGTTAAGTTCCGAGGAAGCAAGCAAGCCGAAGAGGAAGCAGCACCAGCTTCTTCTTTTTGGAGATCCCATTTACAGCTGAATTCCACGGAATCGGACGTAGGAATCAGAACAGTGTGTTGGAGTGAGGAATCGACATTTTCCCGCTTCAACTCTCTCTCTCGGGCCTCGGCACATCCAGAAGCTCCTGGTTGTTTCACTCTGGCACTCTCTCTTCCTTCTACAGTTCTACTGGTTCTTACTACTGGTAGGATTGGTGACCGAAATGGGAAAATAAAGGACATGTATAAAACATGAGACACAATATCTAACAAGCACCAGTGGTCTAGTGGTAGAATAGTACCCTGCCACGGTACAGACCCGGGTTCGATTCCCGGCTGGTGCATTCGAGTTATGATGAACTCTGCGCTCTCTGTGGGAGTGGTCCTCTCACTGTCGCCTGATCTTCGGACGATTTGTGAGCGCGTCTGAGCTCGATTCTTTTTTGACACTTCGCGCCTCCTTTTCTTCAACTGGGATTCTACTAGCTCCTTCCGTTTTGCAGTTGGGGGAATTGTTACATTATTTTTACTCGGAAAAGAGTTTCATTCTGGGGCAAATGAGATTAGAGAAAAAACCACGATCATTATTTATGTAATGAGATAAAAATTAAAATACAATGTGTGGAGAAAAATTACAATCTGATGTACTCTGCTATGTAACTATGGATTAATCTATACCATTATATATACCACAACTGCCGCAGCCGCAGCTGTTTCTTCTTTTACAAGTAACCAGCAACTTCAACATCACAAACACTGTCCTTTCTGTACCTTAAAACCCTCGTCTCGCTCTCTTTTATTTCAAGCACCTGAAAACACATCCACACAAAGTTAGAAACAAACACCATCAACACACTTGCCCCATTTTTACTTCAGACGGGTATTATACGCACATGGATGAAGATTAAGTTTTTACCTCTGGACTCGAATTGAAAACTCCTTTCGACATACCGACATCGACACGCCACACGCTCCCATTATATTCACTACATCGAGAAGAGTAATGCATCCCAAGACATTAAGGAACTTAAATTGAAAATGAGAGGATGAAATGTCGCTCGACGAGTAATATAAGGGATAGAAAGTACCAGTTTGCTCCAGCAGTTTGAGGGGTGTGCCCTACAACAATTCCCTTTGCACCAAGTGATCGCAAAGTGTCCTCGAGAATCATCTGTACCTGAAAAACCAAGACATTGCGACTCTGTTATTTAATGTAGAGAAAATGGTGGAGGAGTTGTGTAGACTGTGCACTCACCTGGCTCATCTGATAGCCATCTACAGCGGAGGGATCACGCGAGTACAAGCGATTCCAAACCACACTATCGTAGCCTCGAGTAGCAACGAAAGGCATGCTTGGGATGGACGGATCATCTTCATCATAGCTAACGCCTCTCATCCATTGGGACACTTCCCGGTTCATTCTCTCCACCCCATATGCGACTGCAGACAACAACAATTAAAGAAGGATCTCCTCAGTAACGCATAGTGATTAGCTTGCTTGCGGAAGAAGGATATTGTGTAAGTGTTTCTTTAACAGACCATGATGAGGAAGAATGCCTCCATGACAGAAGACCCAATCATTGATCTTCAACAATACGCCATGCTTTGCAAGTTCACATGCTAGCGGTCCGCCAGGCCTCAGCAGGATCGATCTAGCAACAACCCCCTTCTGTCTCTGTCCTAATATTGTTTCATCAACTACTTGATCGAAGTTACATTCTTATTACATACAATTACACATCTTGAAGCTGTGACGATAATCCAACTAAAACGAAGAGAAGCTTGTTCATTGGTACCTTGAGTAAATTCCATTGACCCCAATGACTGCCAGCTGACGCTTTCTGCTCTTGTCTCCTCTTCTCAGATGCACGAACCCAGCCGATAAAACCTTCATCCCAATCGTCTTTGAATCCGTCATCCAAGTATGTCAGGAAATCGAGACACTCATCGTATGCCCCGGAGTCCACATATCTAAAATCTCCTTCCACATTCATTGTCTCGTGATTGCCATTGATCTAATTCAATCCAGACAAAGGTCAGATAGAGATCAACCCACACAAAAAGTTCAATCAATAATCAAAACCCCAAGCGACAGAACCATAGAAACCAGACCTGGAAAACAGCTCCACCTTGTGCCCTAGCTTGCACATCGAGCGAGCGTAATAGGGATAATATCGCGATCTCATCTTGACCTCTATCTAGTACATCCCCAAGCTGAACCAACACCTACACTTACACATAAAGAGGGTTTAATAAAACAGTAACATTTAACAACAACAAAGGTCCAAAGAAATGGAAATTGGGGATGATGAAACCCTCAAATAGTTACCGTTTCACCACCAATCCACGAATCCCGGCTGCAATCGGAACTAAGCACTCCGGCAATCTGAAGGGCGCATCTCGTTTGATCGAGGTCTCCATGTAGATCCCCCACTAACAAAATTCACATAGAATGTCAAAATTTAATCGCCGTTCCTTTTCCTATGGTGCGGGAAAGTTGCATCTGCATCAACTTATTCAAGTATTCCACAAGCCTGAAATGAGAAAGCAAATGAAACTAACCGGCGACTATTCGACGGCCAGGCGCAGAGACGAAAGTTGGAGGATCTCCGATGGCAAGTATTGGCTCCAAGCTACTGATACTGGTATTGTTTCCAACGTCGCAGGTCCGGCGGCCGGCGTCAGTACTGTAAGAATACAATCATGTCGTCAAGTGATCGTCCGAGCGATTTAGCAGACGGAAAGAGAAAGAGAGCTTTACCGGAGGGAATTGAGGTCCGATGAAGAAGCAGCAACAGGAACCAGTAACTGCTTATTCTTCTTCTTCGGAGTTGAATATCCAGTTGCAGTGCATGAGTTCGGATTAGGAAGCAAGCAGCGGCAGCGCAGAGGGTTTGACTGGTGAATCGGAGTTCTGAGGAGTGGAATCGCCATTCCCACGCTTCCGCTCTCCCCCAGGCCACAGCTCGTCCACTGACTCTGCTTTGCCACTTTTCTGGTCTCTCCCTCCAAATCTAACCGCTTTTACCCGCATCTCAATTTTGTGGTTCAAATTGAATGAGAATCCTTCTAATCATTGTTAGAATAAAACAACTGTCATTTTCTTATCACAAAAAGCACTAGTGGTCTAGTGGTAGAATAGTACCCTGCCACGGTACAGACCCGGGTTCGATTCCCGGCTGGTGCAATTGTTTTTTTCAAAATTTTCTTTTTTGAGATTGCAGTGATCTAGCTAACTCCGAACTTCGGTTATATAAATTATAAAAAGCTTCGGCAATCAGAATTCAGAACTAATCCGATCCATCTGCAGCAATGAACGCGGCCAACTCCCTCGCTTCTTCTGTTTCGCTTGAAGGTATTCTTCTCCATGCTCATCTTTGTATCCTTATCGACTTTTAGCTTCGAATTCAGAGGTAGCATCAGCTGCCATTTCTTCCGCCATCAACATCTCCCATCGTCTGTGCAGATCACAGCAACCACGCCGGCAGCGATTCAGACACCAGCATCGACGAGGTACCGGAGTATTACCAGCCGATCTCGCACGCCGACGAGAATGACGAAGAAGAGGAAGACGAATCTGCCGACCATGCGAATCACGCCCCTAATTCGGGAATCCTCGAGAACGGCCATTGTTTCGCTCACGAAGCGCAGAGCTGGATCTCGTCTCTCCATCTCAACGGCGTGAAGACCGACGAAGACGACGAAAATCAAGTGGTGGAGGAGGAGGGAGAGATGGAGATGGTGGTGGCAGAGTCGTCCAATTCGTCGGTGGTTCAAGCTTTCAGGGAAGACGAGAACCGACGGAATGCGCCGTTGACACCGGAGAACGCTACTAGAGTCATGGAGGCAATGCGTGGGATCTCCTTCGTAGGTTCAGCTCCTGATTGGGCCGGAGAAATTCCTGAAACTCAGTGGATTGATCGCCTCAGACGGATTAGGCAGATGCCGCAACCTTGAAATGTAGAGTAGAATCCCCTAATTTCTGATCTAGGGTTCTAGTCTCGCATTGATATAGTGTGTGATTGAAGCATGAAAGGGATTGTTCTTATTTTTTGGTTTTCTGTTCTCGCAATCTCAGTCAATACAATCTTAGCATCAAGAATATAAATTATTGTTCCAGTATACCATACCAGCATTCTGTAACAAACATGAACAATGACTGCATCGAAGTTCTATCTCTCTCTTACTACAAACTGGACTTATGTTATGGCGCCGATTTAAAGAACGAACTCCGAAGACTCAGCTCCGCGATTCTTGACTTTGATTGTTAGGATAGACTCGCTCTTGCTTGCTGATCATGCACCAATGTTCTCAATCTCAGCGCCTCTATCCATCCTCTTCACTATTCCAGCAATAACCTTTCCGGGGCCTAATTCGTAGCTCCTCTTCAGCCCTTTGGATACAAGAGTCTTCACAGTGGTTTCCCATTGAACAGGGGAAGTCACCTGTGATTCATTCTTGGATATGTTAGTTTCCCAATTCAAATGTCTCTATCTAAATATGGAGGAAAAGTAAGTAGCTTTACCTGACGTGCCAAAATCTTCTTAATCGTGGCGGGATCTGCATGTGGTTGTGCATCGACGTTAGATATAACTGGTATTCTTGGGGTTCTAATCTCTGTTGCTGCAAGTGCAGCTTCTAATCTTGAGACAGCCGGTTCCATAAAGCTCGTGTGGAAAGCACCGGCAACAGCCAATCGCACCTAAGAGAGGCACATAATCAATCACATTAAACGACAATGAGAATGTTGTAGGATTGCTCAATTTGAACTAGCACTGAAAATTTACCGTCATCCTTGCTTTAAATGACTTAGCCTTCGCTTCAACTGCTTCCACCCCCTTCACACCTCCAGACACAGCATAGTTTCCCTATGGTAGAAAAGCCAGACAAATTGGAGATTGCCATGTTCAGATCAAATATGAGAAGACACCAGATAGTTATGGCTTATGAGAGACAGAAGTGTAAGAGGAACCTCACAGTGCACAGGAAGTTTGCTATCTGAACTTTCTCAGTCTCATCGACTTCTTGATTGGCTGCATCACATAACTGTTGAACTTTGTCCGAGTCCAGTCCAATGATACTGACCATGGCACTTTTAGCAGCATCAGAAGCTTCCTGCAGATAGTTTACCATTGTCCTAATGACTAATGAGTACTTGAAAGTTTCTTTGAGTGACAGAACACTACTATAAGCGTTACGTGAGTTAGTTACCTGCATGGCTTCACCCCTTAGCTTCACCAGCTTGAGACCATCCTCAAAGCTTTGGACAGTAACATTGGGAGGAAATATGAACCGATTCAGAGAACAATATACCAATAATAAGAGTTTAAAAAAGAATTAACTAGTCTTAATCCATCATATTCTCACCTGAAGGCTCCAGAAAATGCTAGGGCAGTGTATTCTCCCAAGCTGAGTCCGCAAGTGACGTCAACTGCATCAATTATTTGCTGGCCACCATCACGAGCACGGAGCATCTCAACTGCAGCCAGGCTAGTGACATATATAGCAGGCTACAAACAGACAAAGTAACCTTAATTTCGGATTATTCTCTTTCCAACAAAATTATCAACATGTGTTTTCTTTTCTTAATTCTTTTTTTTGGTAAGAATGTGTTTTCTTTTCTAAATACACCAAAAGTGAAGAGTACCTGGCTTATAACAGTAGAGTCCAGCTTCTCTTTCGGTCCACTGAGACAGAGTTCTAGAAGATCGTACCTTCATGACCAAACAATAAGACAGGACAAGTTACTACAAACGAACTAGCAGCTAAACTGAAAACTTACTAGTTTAAACTAAGAGTTCATGTTGCAAGAGATAAACTATGTGAGGGAAGATCTAAAAGTCCTACCCTAGTATGTCATTTGCCTTTTTGTACAATTCTGCAGCAGCAGATACGCTTTGAGCCTCTTTCCCCATTCCAACAGCTTGTGCTCCCTGAATTAGTCAACACAGAACCATAAAGGTAAGGACAAGAAGTAAGAGACAACAAACCAACAGAATGATGACTAAAACATCTTCTTAATTGTGGGTTAAAACAAAATTTCATACTCCTTCAAGAGAACATTGACAACAAATTTGAATATTTTTAGTTCCATACCTTCTTTCTTAACTGTGGGTCAAAACATACCATCTAACAATGATCTTAGAATAAAGTCTCTAATTCCCTCATCTGGACTACTACTACACCTATACAACAATAAATCCAAACTTAGTGAAAAGTTTTCAACACTGGCTCTGAGTTCACCATTTAATAAAAACCTGAATGTGAAGCACATAATCACGAGAAAAATCATGACCTTGGTATAGGTAACACCAAAGTACTAACACTTAGTTCCTCGATTCTTTGCCCTCTTCTTCATACTACCACATCATAAATGGTCAACACCATTGTTTTCATTCCTAGCCCATTACCACATCATAATATCAGCAGCAAAACTGATTCATCTCTAGCCCCATTAGCAAGACATATCATTGGTATAAGCCACATCGTGCATCGCTCCCTGGAGCCTTTATCCAGACACTCATGAGTAATGCCCCAAAGCAATGCCGATGGAGTATGGAATCAATATAACCCAACGACTTATACTAAATCAAGCATCCCATTGATGCGACAACCAAAAATTTGGATGCAAAAACAAGAATTCATTACCGGCTCATCCTCCATTTTCTCCTAAACAACCAATTCCGAGTGAAGCTCAGAACAACCATCACCATCATCATCATTTAATTAATGTAGACAGTAATCCGACTCACAGTCGAGTCAACTCCAAGCTAACAATCTCATAAGTGACGAATTGACATGAAGCAACCATCAAATTCCTCGCACTCGAATCCATAGAGTGGGGGAAAAGTGAGTGAGGGACCAACCTGACCAGGGAACAGGAAAGCAGCAGAAGGCTTGTAATCAGCGAACAAGGAGTCGTCGACGACAGTCTGTGATCCAACTGAAACACTCATGAAAACCCTAGATCGACCGAAGTTCTTGATGCCGAATCCGCGAGCTCCATTTCTGCAGCAGCCGTTAAGAGCCTCGGAGGCGGCGAAGGAGATGCGGTTGGGGAAAATTGCTGGGAGAGCGAGGGAAGAGGCCATGGCGGCGGAGACTAAGCTTGAAGGCTTCCGAAGGATAGAAGAGCGGAGGCAATGGCTGGGAGAGCAGTGGAGGTGATGGTGGAAGAGCAGAGAGCGCATGAAGGAGCGGGGAGAGAGTTGGGGGAGTATTTTTGGTTTATAGATACTAACGTGCGCCAGATAGGCAAGGGGCTGCTGGCTTGCGTAGGCTAGCGGAGATTACGAAGAAGAGAGTCGTTGAACAGACCGGCCAACTGTAAATCTTCGGTCTTCGCTTCGGTGGCTGCTCACTGTTTTTGTATTTTACATGTATTGGGCGGCAAGTTTGAGAGCTGTTTTTGGCCTAGGGGTTAATATAATTTTTTTTTATTTGATAACCAAGGAACTAGGGATGCCAATCCAACCCGTAACTATGGGTATCCTACACGATCGTAACCGGTCAATGAGGGTAATTACCCGCTTTGACGGGTTAAGGGGCGGCTACGGGTAATACCCGGTTTCAAAATAATGGGTAGGGTACGGGTATGGTAATTGATAATACCCGCCCTGTTATACCCGCCCCGCTAACCAAAGGGTCAATTTCCCTAACCCTAACCCTACCCAGCAATCGACTTTCCTTGCCCACACACAAGTGAGGTGTTTGCTCAAACTCTTCTTGAAACTTTACTTGCTTGGGATATTGACACAAAGGTATCTACGATTACCTTGGATAATTGTTCTACTAATGATGTCTTGATGGATGTCATGAAGCATAAGTTAAGCAGTGAGCATTTGATGTGGCCTGGTTCTAATATTGTCTTTGCTGTTTTTGTTTATGTGTGGATTGTTTAAGCTAGACCAAATATGATGTATTGTGTTTTTGTTTGTGTGGATTGTAGAAGCAAGAACAATTATTATGTGTTTGTTGTTTTTATTTGTGTGGATTGTTGAAACTAGAACAGTTACAAGTTTTGAGAATTTTTAATAGACAACAGTACGTATGTGCATAAGTTCATATTTTAAGATTTGTACCCATGGTTACCCGAATACCCGTGGGTAGGGTATGGTTATCTCATTTTCATACCCGATGGTTATTTGGTCGGGTATTTTAGGAGGCTCTACCCAGCGGGTAGGAGTTGGTATAGGGTAAACCCGCACCCGACCCTACCCATTGCCATCCCTACCAGGAACCTCAGCTCCACGTGCCGCTTGAGTGATACTTGGGCCTACTAAACCACTAGGATACCTGCATACTAACCGAGGCTTTCTGCTACCAACATCGGGGAGGCTTCGCCTCGGATACCAAGGGTGCCGTCGGGAACGCTCAAGTGGTGCCATTGGGAATCGCTTTATCATTAATATTGGTAATTTATAATTATATTTAAAATATTAACCCGATTCGTTGGTCGGATGAATTTTATTTTATTGTGATAAATCTCTTCATGTTTTTAAATAAGTTGAGGCTTCTAAATAGTTAATTCATGATTTCATAGTAATCTTTATGGTATTTGCTGATTATAACATTACCGATAATGAGTTAATATGTACTTTTTATCAAGTCCTCCTAATTTACTGTTTTGCATTTTTAATATCTTAGAAGAAATTTGTGGACTTTTTATTATTTGATATGAAGTTGGAGTTGACACAAAATATATGTCATCTAGAATGGCAGGAATTGAAGGTATATAAAAAAATTAAGAGAATAACGAAAGGATTATGCCCAGAAATCTCAAATATGGAAGAACACATAAACATAATGCTTATTGTATAAATTATTAGAATTTAGTGCATAGGCTTGATTGAATAATAAGTCGAGGCTGTTAAGTGTTCGATACTAATGCACGTACAAAAGTTACGAAATTTCAACATTATAAAACCTTAAATTCTACTCTATCAACACAATATTTGACTTTTCATGTGGAGTTAATAGCATAAATTGTCACTCTATTATCCATTTTTCTCAAATCTATCCCTTTTATTTTTCACATCAAACATGCCTTTGTAATATATAGTATATACGTATTATCAATTAAATTTAATCCCTTTTATGGCTTACTTTTTCATCTGCAACTCCCAATAATTAATAGCCACAATCTCATCCTCCATCTATCCCGCTTTCTCTTCCTTCGACCTAACAATAATTAAACGCAAAAACTTGTCCGTCAAGAAAGAACCTTGAAGACCGACTTTTAAATTTCAACCAATCTCTGAAAATCCACAATTATTGAACGATTTGACTCCATCATAAAAATTGAAACCCAAAATTTTTAGAATATATGGATTTCAAGTATCAAAGGTTGTCAAACTGGTTTAGCCCGTTGGCCTAGTCGATTAAGTGGGTTGAAAGTTAATGGTCTAATTGTTTTAATCCGCTTATGAAAAAAATTATTCTATTGTTCATATATTTATAAATTATATAAAATCCCATCTACATATGAATAATATTATTCATCGACCGGACTATCTACATTTGTTTCTATATTTTCTATTTTCTGATATCCTCCTTCGAGCACCTAAAATGCACTCCGACAACATGTATTCGTCACGCGATGAAGGTCGCACTCCTATGGTGGCGATGTGTGTCAGAAGTGGAATTAATGAGTAACGACCAAGTGGAAATTGATCATGGGGGTGTTTGCGAGGGAAAACAATATGTGATCGAAGACGAGTTCTTCCAGTAGTCTCTTTGTTAACAGAATTGACTTGACGGATTTATCTTACCAATTCGCGGAGCGGGAGCTATCTTCAAGAATTATAATTTGAGTGCCCTAAAAGACCGTGAATATTATATTATTTTAATTAATATATCATTTAACTTACTAACATGTTTTAGTCAAAATATTACATCAATGCAGTTAAAAAAAATAAAATCTTTTTAGTAGAATAATAGCTATAAATAATCTGACTAGACCCGAAAAAGAACAAACTTAAAAAGGTGAATAGAAATCCAAAAAAGTTTACAATGCTATTTTCTTAATTTTTTTTAAAAGAAAAAGAGAAATGAATGCATCGTTTATCCACCCCCATGCACTCAATTAGTTGTTAATAAAAGAGTCTATATCTTTTTCTTCTCCCTTCGATTATTTGTTTCCTAAGCCGACTCTAGATATCTCCTGTAGATGTACCAAGTAGGCAAATTCTATGTCATCGGCTATCTAACTAACCTCCTATCATTTTATTCAGCCCCAAGTCCGTGATTTGATAATCTATTTCACAGTATTCATTCACGAACTCGTAGTGTATCCTTTTCATCTTTGCTCTCCAAATCTCTGACGGTACCACATATATTTCTTTCTCCCATGAAGAAGCAAGTCATCGTCTTCGAAACAAAGCCGTTGATTTTTCCCCCCGGTAATTTGGCTTTCATTGATGCTCCCTTTAACCAAATCGGAAAGGCGATCCAAAATACAAGGACAAAACGTCCACAAAACAACAAATAACTTCTGCACTCTATCTAAACAAACTCCCTCCAAAAAGGAATCACTTGCATTTCCATACGAAATTGATCATTTCCCAACGAAAGTAACAGAACATCCCGCTTCATATGTGCAAACAGCTGCTGCCATGGAAGTTTAACCCCTTCAGAGTGACGTCTGCATTGCACCTGCCATATCAGCCCCACAAACCAGCTCCACAGGACAGTAAAACATCGTCCCTGGGCTCCTCCTCGCTTTGCAACTTGACTGGCTTCCTGCAGAAAACCCTCCCAATCACTCGGCCAACTTATAGCCATCCTGCCAAAACGTTCAGCAAACAACTCTGTACTATAGTGACATTCACAAAACAAATGACTTCTAGTCTCACCCACTCTCGAGCAAAGGAGACAAGTATCATCCGTGATTCTGCCCCAGTCCTTCGGCCTATCCCTCGTAGTGATTCTATTGAGGATGACCAGCCACGCAACAATACGAAATCTTGGGATCACATAATTACTCCAAAGAAGCTGCCACCATGGTACAACCGGATGCCTCACGAATAGAGTTCCACACCTGTTGCACCCTGAACGTAAGCATAATCTGTCCTTCCCAAAACACTTCATTCTGTGCATTTCTAGTCATCCAAAACTGTAACCATCCACGCAACTGTAAAAGCTTGCGCCAAATCCATGAACCAACAGAAGAAAGAGGCATATCCCAAAAGGAGAGATGCTTAAGCTTATATTTATATTTTCACTCTCATTGCAGGAAAATTTGAATGGGGGAGCAGAATACTACGGTTAGGGATGGCAACAAAATCCGAATCCACGGGTACCCTACCCGACTCAACCCAGTCAATGCGGGTAAAATCCATGTTGATGGGTTTTGGGCTGGGTTCGGGTTTAAACCTGTTTACTATTCACTGGGTTGTGTTTGAATTTAGCTATACCCGACCAATGGATACCCGCCCACATCCATATAATTAATTTTTCCAGTATATTTAATATTCTAAGCAACTAATCTTCTTTATATTAGAGGAGACATGTCTAATTTTTCCTTCTAATTGTGTAAAATGAAGTTGATATTATTGAGTGGAGAGTGAAGAAACTTAAATGACAAGGAGGAAGAAGGTTTGAATTAATCATGTTGTTTATGGATAATTTGTGATATGCTTCAATTTTCTTGAGTTTTCTAGATTGGTGTTGAACAATTTGTATGGTTAATTTGTGATTTGCTTGAATTTCTAGAATGGTGTTTTATATATGGATAATTGTATTGAGAGAGTGATATTTGACTTTTTATTTTGATAGGAACTTGTTATTGTAATTTTTTTACAACAAAAATCCATGGGTACCCATGAACTGCGGATGCCCAGTGGGTTGGGTTTGAGTTTTCCAAACCTAGTGGGTTTTACACTGAATTTTTTTCACGGATAAACCCATGGGTTTGGGTTTGGCAAAACCCAACCTAACCCGACTCATTGTCATCCCTAACTACGGTACCGCTGTAATAAGTGTGGCACCGGTCATAATGTCTTTGATTGGTCCAAATGGACGGTGACATGGTATGGCTGAGTTTATTTGATCTTAACCCAACCCATCTGGCCCAGCAGAAACCACCCAAACCGTCTCTGCCAAAGTAACAGATACCATTCCTCAATATGTTTTTTTATTTTATTAAAGCAAAATTTATGTAAATGATATTAGTTTTGTTTTCCAGGATAATCAGAAAATAGAAAATACAAGCGAATTTGGAGAGAAATGAAAACAATGATTGAGCAATCAAACTAAAAGAGAACATCCTCTATCTCCCTCTCCAGAGCAGCAAATAGAGTTATTCTGCTGACTGCATAAGTTGTTAGTATATACTAACTAATATCCAAAATATATGAACTAGTATCCAAGTCTTCTGATTTTATGAAATAGTACTAAAGTATCTAGATAGCACAGACTAGTATTCAAAACATCAGAAAACTAGCATCCAACTAGTGGTGGTAATCGGTCGGTTACCGGTTAACCGGTAACTGACTAACCGGTTAACGGTACACCGAAATTTGGTGTGGGGATGCCGACTACAGAATCGGTTTCCCTATCAATTAACCGACTAACCGATTAGACGGTTACCGGCTAGAAACCGGTTATCCAAGTAACCGTGCGAGAGATGGGCGAGAATGAATAAACTCTGATCGGCTCGGCTTCTTGGCTCCTCTGCTGCACCAAAAGGAAGGAACAACTAGCCAATTCCTCTTCTCGAGCTTCCCGACCTGTTAACAGTTAACATAAACAATTCCACAATTTCAATTTCAATTCAACCCCTAACCTAAATTCGGCAACACAAACAATTTAAATCAAATTTCTAGCTTGCTCTAACCTAGGATGGAGACGGAGAGGAGTAGAGGAGGAAGAGAAGAGATCGACGAAGGAGGAGCCACGTTTGAGGCAAGGGTTGGGGTAGGCGGAGATTGGCCGCGATTTACCCTTGCCACCGCCGCAGCACCTCCGAGGACGATCTCGTCTACTACTACCGCGTCGAGGGTGAAACGGTAGCCGACCAAGCAACAACGGTGGGGAGAAATAAACCGTCGGGGGAAATCAATCGTCGCATGAAATCGCCTCGATCCGGGAGAATCAATCGTCGGGAGAAAGAACCGCTGCATGCAATCGCCTCTGGGAAAATCAACCCTCGTGGGAAGAACCTTCGCTGTGGAAGTCGATTAGAACTTAGAAGAGATCGTTTGGCCGGAGAAGAAGGAGGATCGATGATTTGCTCGGCGAGGAAGAGGTGGAGGGAGGTTTGGGAATGGAGTATATGATTCAGGTTTGGGATGGGAAAGGAGTTGAGAGGGAAGAGAGGCTCGTGGAAGTATATCAGAGAGGAGGTGGACAAGGGGAGAGATCAGAGAAGAAAGAGAGAAGGTCGGGAAGTGA